CCAATGAATGATGTTACATCCTTGTGAAAAAACAACAAAGCCTCAAAGACAAAGAGTCAGTCGAACATTTTCACCTACAGGCCTACAAAATCACCATCTACTTCCTTTTTAATTAAGCTGGCTGCTTTTGTTCTGAAGAGGAATGATTTCTTTTATAATGACACACTATGGCTTCAAATTTCTGGCACTTCAATGGGCACGAAAATGACACCTAGTTTTGCTTGTTTACTTGTTGTCCATCTGGAAGAATGAATTTTATACGACCACCAAAAAAAACCCTTTTCTACCATTCATCATGTCTTGGAAACGGTACATAGATGATCTATTTTTATTTTGGAAGGGATCAGTCTCCACAGTATTGGAGTTTGTACGATTTTTAAATGAACACTTTGCAGATTGATGTTTTACTCTTGTTCATGGTAGTAAAGAAATTAACCTTTTTGGCATAATAGTAACCAAAAAAGACAAATATCTGTCCACCTCTCTTTACTCCAAACCTATTGAAATACATTACTTCACGCTGCAAGTTTTCAGCCTCAAAAAAGGTTTACCTGTAAGCCAAGTCATTAGATTCAAATGCATTTGTGAAATTCCTGAACAATATAATTACAGCAAAGAAAAGATGTTATAAAAATGACAAAGAGGACTGGCTAAGATTTGCAGAAAATAAGGTGGACTCAAAAAACAGAACGTTTTATCTGGTAACTAAGAAACCTCCAAAACCCAAATGAAATCTTGTTTTTTGCACAACCATTACAACAAAAACCAGGAACATTAAAGAAATAATTTTAAAATATTGGCACATCCTTCGAATTTACAGGAGATTTTTAAAGAACAGCCAATGATAAAAACATTAGGGATAGGGTTATTCGAGCTTTTTGTGATTCTAAACCCCAGAAACAACACCTGGCAACTCATAACCTACAAGGTCATTTTAAGTGTGGGTCTTCCATACATTGAGAATACTCAAAAATGTAAAACCAAGTGGCAAGATTATTGATGCAAAAAGCTTTATTACCAGCAAAACTAAAAATGTGGTCTACATGATACGGTGTCCATGCAACAAAACACCTGTGAAAGAATGAATTAACAAACACAGAAGTTCTATTAAGAGAAATGATTTAACCAGCCCTGTTGCAAGAAATTTTAATGAAAAACATTGTAGCTCATCTTTATTCTTTATAGGCATTGAAGCCATCAAGCTCAGTCAAAGAGCTGGTTATATCAATTTCATCAGAGAAAAGTGAGAGGCATTCTAGATATTCCATTTAAAGAGTTTATTTCCCAAAGGTATGAATGAAGATCTAGCTATTAATGAGTTTCTGTGATTCGATCTATTTTTGTCTCTGAAAAAATGTCTCTAAAAAAATTGTGATGCATATTGTTGTTGTTTAGTTCATGGAATTCATTTCTTAGAGTTCCTGTGATTGTTATGTATAATTTTTATCTTGTTTGCATTTTTTGTGCACCTGTGGGAATGACCCACTTTTACATGTATAAGGTGACATCCAGTCACTTATCCTGTAATGGTTCAGTCCAGAACATATTTGAACAATCATCATCCCCATTAATGATTATGTTTATGTGTGAGTGGCTGATTGGTTCATTAGTTTTTTTTATTTTCTGTTGTTTTACTTTAAATTAAGCACAAGCTGTTTGGTGTTTTGTAATAACCCCGATGAAGGCCACAAGCCGAAACACGTTTGTCTGACAATAAAGTTGTTCCTTAGGGTTTCAGGCATCTCTGGAGTTTTCATCTCACCACCCCTTTATTTTGAAAAACACAAAGCTCAGACACCAGGTAAATACTCCACACACAGACCACTACAGTATGATGCATTAGGTTTCTTATACATTCTGTATCTCTTTTTAAAAAGTACTTATTCTAAATGATTAAAGTTTAATATTATCACTGAAAAATGCAAGCGCTATTAATATCTGAGGACCTTTCTCCCCCACAATTCCCCTGAAAACCGTATCTCTACCTGACGTATATAACTTAATTATTCATTTCAAGATTTACACCTGTGTTTTCTGCAGTTAAGAAAATACATGAAAAGTAACACAAGTTGAATTCTACGTTGCTAAAAAAAATGTAGACAAAGTTAAATATGTTTTAGTGCGCCCCAGGGTGGCTGTGGCTACAATGTAGCTTGCCATCACCAATGTGTGTGTGAATGGGTGGATGACTGGATATGTAAAGCACTTTGGGGTCCTTAGGGACTAGTAAAGCGCTATATAAATACAGGCCATTTACCATATTTAGAAATTTCCCAAGATGCCATTTTTTGACTCACTGAAAGCTCTATACACTCTGTATGACTAAAATATTTTAACCCGAGATGATTTTCACGTAAGTCTTGTTCAGATTGAAACTGAAAGAAGTTTCAGATTGAAACTTCTTTCTTGCTTTTTTGGGCCATCAGGTACTCAGTACACAACAAATAACCTGTATAATAGGAAAAACAAGACCATCTTCAGCTCATTGTCATGATCCTGGGTCTTTTAACCCAGTGTTTTGAGTTTTAGTTTATTTTGATGTTTATGGGTCATGTTTAAGTTCATTGGGTTTTCTAAATTCATTTGTTTATTAGATTCCCCTTGTGGTTCTACCTTGAAACCGTTTCTTTTCTCTGATATTATTAATGATTTGAACCTTTATTTTTCTGCTAACTCTAAAACACAAATTATTCAGATAACAGTATTATATTTTAAAAAAGGTTTTACAAGTACAAGAAGCACTGCAATTCAGTTTTAATATTCTACAAATGTAGATTTGAGCAAACAAACTACTGCTTAATAAATACAAACCTTACTGAGTGCTCATTAGTAAGAGGCAGAACCTCAACCTCTAATCAAAATCTTTTGCTTTAACCAGTAATGGTGCTGGAACACTTTGAAAGGACAAAAAAAAATATTTGGGTATCATAATCTACTCTAAACTGAATTTGTATTAATTGCATCTTGAAAAAAGCAAGTCATCAGTGTTTCTTTCATGTCTTCTCTGTATCTAAGTAAGATTTTAAAAAAAAGAAGCTCTATCTCGTTGGAATAATTTGTCTAGTTGTTGATTTTTGTTTATTTGTTTTTGCTTTGTTTCATCACCTCAGACTAGACTTCTTATGTTTTTAAGAAGGATCACTTTTCTCTATATTCCTTCTTCAAATGATTGATTTACTTCTCAAGGAGGTTTATGTCATTTTCAATAAGAAGATCCTTTGTTCTATAAAATCAAAGGAACTGTCAAACTGTTCAGTATGACAGTCTGCTTTCACAAAATCCATTTTGACTTAAAGTAGTAGGTAAGCACAGATGTTACTAATCACATTAAAGATACTTCTGGACCTAAAAATAACTGAACCTTCATTAATGTGATTAGCAACACCCGTGCTTGCCTACTATTTCATGTCACAATGGCTGATGAAAGTTTGGTTACCAGCCTCAAATAGCCTATTACTAGCACCTCAGAGTACAGCCCAATGCTTCCCACAGTTCAAATAGCACACACTACCCAGGGAGCTCCATAATAAGAAGAAAATTGCTTGGGCCAAGAAACACAAGCTGAACTGAAGACCAAAGTATGTGCTTTGGTCCAATTAGATTTATGTTTCCAGCTACCATGGCTTTATGTATCACAGACCAGATGAACCTGTGGCCCTTGCACAGCCTCCAGGTGTTGTGGTGCATCAGACGACCTGGCCTCCACAATCAGCTGATGTAAATGAGATAGTTTGGTTAAACTGGAACACAAACGGTGCCAATTAAACTCCGAAGAAGCTCTTCTGTCACCTTACCAGGTAATGAAATCATGCCTTCTTGACAGCTTTGCATCTTCGTGCGACGCTGTCAAAATGGGAAACAGTGGCTGCTTTAAGAAACACATAAAGCCATAAATTAAAAAATTATTTAATACCAAAATAAATAATGACAAATGCACATTTGCACGCACAGTTTCATGTAGTCTAAATAAATACCACAACATCTGCACCTACACAGAAGCCTTGCAGTTGTTTTAGGTGAGGTTTGGGTGAAAGTGTGGCAGCTGTGAGCTTGAATGTGCTAAAACAAACTTTGTGTCATAAAAATGTGATTTATAATAAATGTGAGTAATAATTCCTGATCTCACTACATGACCTCTTTATACTTAGGACATTACCGAGCAGTCTGACTGCATCTACTTGTTCAGGTCCAAGACCTATGGCTCAAAATATTCATTGCAATCCGTGCAAAACTGTCAAAACTCTTGGTCCCTGTCACATCGAATAGACGACACACTGATGTTCTCAGAGTCCATGCAGACATGCTTCAGTTCTCTCTACACGACTGTAAGAAAACAGTCTATCCCAGCTATCAGGGACACTGTGGACAGATCACCAATCCCTCCAGCCCCTGTGATTAAGTCTCATGAGAAAATAATAAATAAAGCTTTTTCATTCTAGTGAAACATTCCATCTTTTGAATCTGCCTTTTTGCTCTGGCCCAATCGCTGCTTCTTGTAATGGGAGAACAGAGAGCATGTTTATTTATTTAATAATAAACCGTACACTGTCTCCTCTGAAACAATTATCTGTGCTGTGTTGTTATGTTCCTGTGAATGATGAATCTGTTAAATCATCTTATATGCACACTTTCTACTGTTTCAACCCTGGAGAGCTTTTGTTCTGGTTGTTAGACACACACGCAAACTGTTGGGCTTCCATGATTTCTGCGGACATTTCATTACCTCCATGCAATTCAATGATTTTCCTTGAGGGGACTTTGTTTTTTGTCCCCAGAAGAAAGACACGTCCCTATAAATTGACTGTTTGAGTAGATTTAGGTCCCCACAACATGGGTAATACCAGACCAGCTCACAACCACACACACGTACACTCACTCACTGGATTATTACAATAGTTGCTTTTTTTCTCAACCAGCAGACGAATAACAGCACGTGGCTTTAACGTCACATGAATATCAGCACCTTGGACAGCAGCCACAGTCAGCAGCTACACCACCAATGAAGGATGGAGATAATTTCTTCTTAGCTGCAAGAAGCAAAAGTCTTTTTTAAAAATAGGAAACTATACAGATAACGAAGTTTGGGTGGTTTGAGCTGACGTGCATGCGAAACTTCTGAAAATCGAATTTGAGCATCCTGGGATTATGATGAAGGAGACACTATACTACAGTCTGCCAGGTGAAGTGGCACTTCATTGTCTCGCCTATTCTCCGGGGTCTTTATATGATTTGCTAAATAAGTGAGGAGGTGCCGTTTTTTTTAGCAACCCGGAAGGGACAGTTGCGGTCTGCTCTTTTTGTGTTCACAGGAATCCATATCTGGCATCCTCTCGCTCCCCCTGATTTGTGGCGCAGAGATGGTCGGGAAAAGAAGTGGCATTACAAGTTGCTGTGAAAGGATTTTTTTTCATGTGATGTTATTTTCTTCGCTTTCTCCGCTGAGATTGAACCCCGCTGGATTCTAACTTTATAATCTGGCTGTCGGACCTGCTTAAGGGGAGAAAGTGCGGGACGAGCTCCCCCACCGCCCGATGTAACAGCAGAGAACGAGAGAGAGGGGGGAAAGGGCTAAAGCGAACTGGAGGAAAGAGTGGCGAAGTGATGGATGCCACTGCCAGACAACAAAGGATGCACGCTTGTCACCTCGTGTAATTCTACCCGCTCTGTGGGTAAATGAGAAACTCAAATATAAATCGGATTGGACTTAGTTGGTAATAGGATTCTGCATCAACCCCACACCTCAGACACCCTCGCTGTTTCCGCACGAAGAAGAAAACATTCTGTGGCAAACCTCGGACAGCTCCTTGTGATTCACAACATCGAGATGACCCGTTTGAACCTTGCGATATCAGCGAGCGAGCGGGATGGAGACGTGTAAGAGGATGCTGCTAGACTACTCTGACTTTAATGTTTGTGCCTCACAGTTCGTGGCTCTCAGCCTCCATTGAATCCCGAAAGAAAACGCCTCTGTCCATGAAAAATAATCCTTCCCTATTGGCTGGATTGCGGTGCACATGCTATAACAACAGGATATGCAAAGAGCTATGGGCTGATCTAATAGCCTATCATGTTAGTCGCATGCTTTCTCAATTCAGATCTGAATTTTATTCAGTAAGATTTGAACTGTCTACTTGAATCAATTCAATACCTCAACAACAACAACAACAACAACAACAACAATAATAATAATAATAATAATAATAATAATAATAATGAAGGGACTGTGACAGTAAAGCTGAAGGTTGCTCTGTTTGTGGCTGTGTAGTAAAGCTGCTGAAGAATGTTTAAGTATCGCATCCGGATGTTCTTTAATGAACTCAAAGTGTTGCTACTGATGCGTTCTGGATCAAGCAGGAGGACGGACACTGACCCGAACACACAGACCACGATGAGAGGGCTCGCTATTGGAGGCTGTGATTGGCCACAGCTGAGGTGCTCTCAGCGGGACGACGAGGAGGAGTACTATGGCTCTGACCTCCGGCCACGAAGCCTGGCGTTTGAGGATAAAGAAGGTGCCAAACCTCAGGGAGGAGGAGTAGGAAACATGGATGCTGCTTCACTCCCGAGTCTCTCAGAGAGCGGGACGCGATCACCGCAGTGCCGGATCTGCTTCCAGGGGCCAGAAAAGGTAAAGTTAGAAAAAAAGAAGGTATTGGTGCTGGAGGAACAAACACAACTGGAGCCTCTAGCAGTGGCTTGTTCGTGGTGCTTCTCTCTAATCACTTGAAGAAACTGTCTTAAGACAAGTTGCTCAGAAAAGTTTCCACCGGATACATGGAGAACGTTTGCTTAGAAAATTTACTCATTGTCCAAAAGAGTAAAGAAGTTGAAGCCAGATCTTTAAAGTTTACCACCAGCCTGAGCTGCATTTAGCCCAGTGTACTCAAGCTCTTTCTTTATGCACTCAAATGCTTTACTTGAGTGTGATTTACCTAGAGGCAGACTTAATGAATGGTCAAACCTGGAGCAGGTCTAATGGTTAACACATTTACATGAAATGTGAACAATTCCTGGTTCTCAAGAAGTCAAAACAAGTGTACTTCTAATGCCCGTCCCAAGTCGTTATAAAGGTTGTGTCAAGAAATCAAACACACACTGCTTGGAAAATAAGGGAACAGCCGATAAAGCTGCAGAGGGTGAAATCTCCAGATTTTTACTTTACCAGTGAGGACTGAAACTCCAAAAGTGTTGCACATTACCCACAATGCAACTCAGTTAGAGATTTGGGTGTGTAATGCTAGGAGCAGGGGATAATTCCTGAAGCTGCTGAGGACTAGTAAGTAAGTGGTATCATCTGACACACACAAATAAAGCCCCTCAGCCTTTACTGGAGTCACATAAGAGTCAAGATTCAGCATAATAAACTGTCAATTCAGGTTTGCATAGTGAAACTGTACATATAGTCGCCTTGTGTTACTAAAAAGAGTGAACAAATAATCTAAGGCTATTTTTCATGCTCAGGTATGAAGGAGTTCAGTATTCCCACTGCCCCCAAAGTCTGAGAGTACATCAACAGACAATTCTGTATTGCTTGCCAGATATAACCTGTGATAACATCTTTTTTCACAAATGCAAAAGTGCTCCCGAGGACCTTTAAGGCAATCTTGATGTGTAAAACCAGTAAGGATTTCATTTATGTGCCATGGGTGTGGTAAGGATTCCATGTGTTTCCTTTGCAAACACATGGAGAACATGTCAGCTACTGTAGATCAGTTTCAACTTGTTTTCAGTATCTGGAAGACTGCATCACATCTGCTCTGAAGTTTAAAAAAGAGAGAGAGAACGAAGTCAGAGAGAGTAAGACTAAAATAGGGGAACTATCTATCAACAGCGATCTGAAAATAGCAGTGGGCAGACAAAGGGCATCAGTTAAGAATAGTCTCAGAGAAAAGGGAGGAGCTTTATATGTACTGTGTGAAGTAGTGAAGTCTTTACGGAAACAGATTCAGCATCTGATGCACAAAATTAGGCTGTTTTAAAAAAGCAATAAAGAAAGGTTTTAAGAAGGATTTCTCAGCATGAAAATAAATCAATCTATGCTCATTGTTATTTTAAGGGATTCGAAGGGCAGTATCTGTTTAATAACTCTGACTCTGTAGCAGAAACCATTAATGAAGGGATCAAACCTTTGATCATGTGTTTTAGTTACAGGAAGGTCAAAGTACAGTGAAAGTGTCTCCCACAGACAGACTCTGCTGGAGGTGTCCGTAAAGTTTTTGGTTCGCCTCCAGAAATCCACATAATTAAAGGCCTCGCACGTCACCCAGAGTCAGACAGGAAATAAATGAAGATGTGCAAGAGTGTTGTCAGTCCAAAGCCTTAGGGAGTCATGCTGACAATGAAAACCTGCAACAGATATCCTGTGCTTTCTTTTAAGGGGAAAGTATAGAAAGGTATTCAGATAAAGGTCTTAGGAAGCATATAGTCAAAGAATATCACATAGTGTCATCGTGAATTCATGTTTGAAATCGCTTAAGCGCACGATATTAAGGCAGGCAGCACATATATACTATACACTGTGCAAAAATCTTGAGCCGCCTCTTGCTTCTTTAATTTTTTCTTCCAAGAAGCCAGACTTATTTGTCATTTTTAAAGTGGTCTTAAGCAATAGTTCTCCAGGCTTTCTTGGTCTTTCAAAGTTTGTCTTTTTCTCTTATTTTTTTGGACTTTGGCTGCTCCTTCACTCATTTTCAGACCAGTCCGTGTACCTGAATATTTTCAGAGGAATGTTGTTTGTGTGTGCTGAACCTTTTAACACTGACCTATAAATCATTCACTAATAAAAAAAGGCTCAAAAAGGAGAGAAAGGTACAACAGTGAGTGTCTGCAGGCATTTGTAACACACAGCAGAGGCTCTTTCATGGTTTAGCTGGTGATGCTGGGGATTTGGTCAAAATTGATGGAATTATGAATGCAGTACCATCAGATTTTGACCAACCATGCAATACCAACTCTGTTTTTTAACCCTATGTACTGCATTTCCATTCCATTTCCATTGGTATATTTACCAAGGATAGATCAACATGCAGACTGGAGGAGCCAAAGTTCAAACCACAAACCTTCCCATAAGTAATAATTTCCTAGAAGTTCTTCAAAAACTCTCCTTTTTTAACAACAACAACAAAAAAAGCCTTACTGGCTATTGATTACTTCACCACAAAAAGAGAGTAGCAAAGCATCAGCAGCACAGCAGCAGGCTGAAAAAGCCAAATAATGTTCAGTATGAAATGCCAGCAAAGCTCACCAAGTAAAGAATCACTCCAAGCTGTCAGAAAGAGTAGGAAGAGTCAACAAACTCTAAGATGGTTCCCAAAGGAGAGGCTGGAGTTACAGGATCCTGTTCACTACTGAGAGAGATAACACAACACTGTGAGGTTACATGTACAGGCAGTGCTTATCAGTCAAGGCAAAACAAGTGTAATTAGTTTTTAACTCCATATTAAAGCAGAACACAACTGTAAGTATCTTTACACGTTCTACATCGACAGGTCAGTGGATGTATATCTCAGTGGACATGCATCCAATTTGCAGTGACCACGATTGAGCCAGCACAACCACAACACTGCAGACTCGCTAACCGTGTACTCTTCCTGAAAGCAGACCTGTAGATAATATAGAATAACAATCCATCCACGGTGTCTGCAGCCGTCTGCAATGGAGTACGAGTCCAGTCTTGATTTAATTCACGGTATTTGTAACTACACCACAACTTACCCTATAAAACCCACTGGCATAACTCAAACATTTACCACCCCCCTTCTTGCCAACCAGAAACAGTAAATTATTTTATCTGTTGGTACTTGCTCCAGACAGGTCTGTGACCCAGAGATGCCCTCAAACAATGTCTTCGTCAGGTAAAACACAATAGGAACATTGTTAAAGCTGGGAAAATCAAAATCAATGATAGAGATCTTTATTCCCATTTTTACTGTCAACTGTGTGACTCAAATCTTCATTCGGTGGGAGTTTTACCCTACAGGAGGCTCTGTGGAAGGCTATTTCATGCACTTAATGTTTCATCCTGCAGGGGGAGTTGCTGAGCCCTTGTCGCTGTGATGGCTCAGTGCGCTGTACCCACCAGTCCTGCCTTATCCGCTGGATCAGTGAGAGAGGCTCCTGGAGCTGTGAGCTCTGCTACTTTAAGTACCAGGTGTTGGCCATTAGAACCAAAAACCCACTGCAGGTATGGTCAATGTGGTTTTGTTCTACTCTTACTGTTTTAATGTTAACAGTGTAAAACCTTCCTATAGGATTTAGAATTGATAAGATAAGATAAGATAAGATAAGATAGAACTTTATTAATCCCTCGGTGGGTTCCTCTGGGAAATTCGATTTCCAAAAAGCACAGCACCGACAGAAGTTACAGAGTTATACACACACACATATATATAAATACAGAGACAATATAAATAAAATATACGAAGGGGATAAATAGAATAAATAGGAATAAAAATAAAATACAAGTGAATTGCACATTTCAAGTATTGAGTCTATTGCACCGTTGACTATTTACAAAAGTATTGCACAAAAGGTATTGCACAGTGAGGTGAAGAGGCACTACAGCTTAGTTGTTCCCTCCTTTGTCCTCCTGTTTCCCCTCCCTCTCCCTCCAGAGAGGAGTTAAACAGTCTGATGGCGTGTGGGACAAAGGAGTTTTTAAGTCTGTTAGTTCTTGTCTTTGGGAGAAGCAACCTGTCACTGAACAGACTCTTCTGGTTGTTAATGGCCGTGTGCAGAGGATGCCTGGCATTGTCCATAATGTCCATCAGTTTCTTTAATGTCCTTTTCTCTGCCACTGTCACCAGAGTGTCCAGCTTCATGCCGACCACAGAGCTAGCCCTCCTGATCAGTTTCTCCAGCCTACAGAATAAAGTCCTTGATGGCTTTATGGCCGAAAGCCATCAATAAAGGTTAATTTGCCAGATTTGAGTGACTGACTGGCAGAGGAGCACGATAATCACATTAGGGGTCACTGTAATCTAAGAATCAATGTGCTGGCACTGTGTAGAGGCCATGAAGTATTCACATTACCATCCCCTCAGGCTCCCAGTCATTTTGAACTCATGCTGTTCAGTAAACTTGCAACGGTTCCCAACAGGAAGCACAGTAGCTTTCCATACTTTTCACATAGCTATTTTTACGGTTTCTATGAACAAATGGAGAAGAAAACAGTGAGGATTGAGGGCTTGCAGGCGGAGGTTGCCAAGAACAATAAAATGAGGCACTGCACATTTGAAAGAGTTGAATGATTTGGTCTAAGTGATTTCAGCATCTTAATGCTAATAGCAGCAGCCATCTCAAGGAGCTTTCTAATCCAAGGTAAAGACCCTATAATTTTAGAAAGGAAACTCCAATAATCTGATGATCTCCTGTGAGCAAGCACTTGGCAGAGGCGGAAAGTAAGATCTCTTTTTTATCAGGATGAGATCTCCGGCAGGACCGGAGTGAGGGAGGGGCAGCCATCTGCCTTGACTGGTCTGGGGCCAGGGGAAGGAAATGACAGAACATATTCGACCTGTGTCCTTTTTCTGTGTGAGAGACGCCGTATGCTACGTTGGAGAATGTGCCATCATTACTGTTCTTCCATACTGGCTAATACATGACAAATTAATAAATGCCACAGTACCGTAGTTATGATTAGTTACAGTCGGAATCAGGAGTAGACATGCTTCCAATTTTGACAAATTTTGAGTTTTCTTTTGTAGCAGGACAAAAAAGAGAAGAGATAATGAAACTTACGAAGAATAATTTTGTTTCCAGTAATTTATTCTCTTTCAAAAAGGTGCAGCAGAGAAGAGTCTGTAGTTTCATTATGGAGATCGGATTATCCTCAAATCCACTTTCAAACCTGCAAAACACAATTGCTGTTATTGCCTGTGAGATTCAGTGATTATGCTCCAGAAATCACAGAAACCATCTGGGAAATATGTGCTGATAAAAAACCAGGGCCTCTTTAGATGTACGGCAACGATTCAAACTCTGTGCTATTATCTCACATAATCAAGAAGCAGTTTGCAGTTTCTATCTGAAAAACAATTTCATTCAGTTTTTGTGTCTGTATCCAGTGGCAGGCCATCTCTCTGACTGTGATTGAGAAGGTACAGATTGCAGCCATTATCCTCGGCTCTCTGTTCCTCATCGCAAGTATTTCCTGGTTGGTTTGGTCCTCTCTCAGCCCCTCAGCCAAATGGCAACGGCAGGACCTTCTCTTCCAGATATGCTACGGCATGTACGGCTTCATGGACATAGTTTGCATAGGTAAGACACAGATACTACGGCGGCCACATATTCGTTATTATATATTTCACACTTGGTGTAAATGTCATCAAACTGAGTGCCAGTCTTGCATAATCTGACTTTTTATCTTACAACTCTGCAATTTCCCAATAATTTATTAGAATTTATCTTTTGGTGATTATTCTAAGTAATTTGTCGTGAGTCCATATACACTGCAAGGTTCCCAAAAAAGGGCAACAGTTTGGTTTATCTAAGTAAATAGGTACTTTAGGAGTTTTCCATTGGATCATTACTACAGTGATTTATATGTTTGGGCTGGCAACAGGTTGCCGTTGTCGTGAAAAAGATGGGTTGAATTATTGGCCTGCATCAAGCTACTAAAATTTACTTACTATAACTACAGAAATCATATTAAGAACGGTGCACGGCATTACTACCATCAACTTCGAGGAACAAATATGGTCAGAAAAGAAAACTCGAATGATCAAACGGTCAGAGATTGTTTAAATATTTAGTGAAATCAAATTGTAAAGCAAATCAACAGTAGAACCTGCAGCTTTGTTTATGGTTACTGATGAAAGCAAGAGTGTGTTTCCAGAAGCAAAATGTGAAGAGAACTCAAGGGAATGGGACTAAACAGCTGTGCAGCCTTAAGAAGACCACATATCAGTGGAGAAAAAAAAGGCTTCTATTTGCCTATAGAGCATAAAGATTGGACTCTGGAGCAATGGAAAAGGGTCGTGTTGTCTCTTATTGCATCAGGATAAGAAGACAAGGGATGAAGTGATGCAACCATCATGCCTAATAC